TACAAGCTTTGCAAGTGGGAAAACCTGAAAAATCAACAGTGTATCAAATACTTGTTCTCCCCACTGTAATTCACTCTCTGTGCCTGCTCTGTGTATCGGTCCTTGATATTTGTTTGGCATTCTTCTCCGGTCTCTCAGRCCTTTATCTTCTTTTCTGCTGACTGTCCGAACTCACTCTCACTCCTTCAATTTCCACTCTTCGCAGGACTACACGAGCGGAGCTCTCCTAACAGGAGAACTTAAGAAGATTTTGATTGAAACGCTGCAGCCGATGATTTCCCAGCACCAGGAGAAACGCAAACAAGTCACAGATGAGATAGTGAGGCAGTTCATGACACCTAGGCCTTTGAATTTTAACTTGTAGCCCAGCGGCGCGTCAAAGATCCAGCTTCATCAGAATCACTAGAACTATCAGGAGCTTCATGTCAAACCACAGGTGGCACCGCTCTTCCCTCATGCTGCTCGTCAGGTTTAGCTACGTGACGTATAAATGATTAAAGDGGAGCCTTTTAAAACCTGCTTAACTAGCATCAGCACAACAACATGTATGCACTGTGTAAGGATGCATTTGCGTTGTTAACAATAAATGCTAATATAAATTTAAWAGCAGCTGTGATGTGTATGGGGAAAATGACTGATAAATTATAAAGTAAAAAGATCAAACAATGTGRTTTAAGTTAGATTTATATGTGGAGCAATACTGATCTGATTCTAAATAAGACAAATTGAATTTTGGTGTCGCAAATTGGAAATCAGATTTCATATTTCTGTTTATGTCTTACAGAGTCTGAGTTTCACCCTGAATATGTCCTGCTATAGCRTGTCAATGTAAACTTGTCACAGAAGCAAGTAAATTCATCCATAAAATCAAGTCAGTGGGTTATTTTCAGAAAAAGCCAAAAGAACTTATGACAGGCTGATACCATAAAAGAGCTTTGTTTTAAAACGTAGCATTTTACGTTTAAAGTTTAAAGCTTTTTAAATGTTTAAAGCACGTTTAAAGCTGTCCACCATCTAGCCCCTCCTTACATGTCCGACCTCGTACACATCTCCATCCCCTCCTGCTCTCTCCGATCCTCTTCCCTAAACCTCCAAGTACCCACTACCCGCCTCCACCTTGGGGAGCAGGGCCTTCACCTGCTTTGCACCTCCTCTGGAACTCTGTACTTGACCTAAGAAACACCTCCTCTCTTCAAGACTGCTTTAAAAACACATCTCTTTAGATTAGCTTATCAATCTTAACTTCATTTGTAAACAATTCTCTGTAACTCACGCCAGCTTGTCTCTAAC